GAGATTTGGTCTTATGCTGAGCATGTGCTATTGCTGGTGAATGGGTTAAGCTTTGTGTTGCTGTTCTTTTGCATAACCTAAAGTAAATAAGGAAAACCAGCTGTTAAATAGTTAAATTCCACTATTTATCCTCCACACAACTAAAAGGGACCTCTCAATGCAGTGCTGAATCAGACAAACCATTTCTAACTTAATATAGGCTTGAGCTGTAGCTGGGTAGAGTTGCACAACAATCTCATCTGTCATTGAGACATTTCTATAAGCATGGGGAGGAGGTGGATGAAAGGAAATGTAAAATATAGGTAGCGTGGTATAGGTCTTATCACTGGCTGATAATGGTCTATATGTACTTGAATTAAATTTATGTTACACACATTTATGGTATATAAACTAGAGTACACAAAGCTTTAAGTCTCTCCATTTGTTAATGACAGTGGTAATGGTTCTTAATGCCACTGTTGACTGCTGTTCACTTTACATGGTTCAAATGTTATTCTGCTATAGTTTATTAAATATTTTATTACACTATTTGGTTCAAAATATATTTTCCCTGTTTTCCTCCTCTAAAAATTATGTGCGTCTTAAGGTCCGGTGTGTCTTATGGAGCAAAAAATACGGTAATACAGTGGTGCCTCACATTACAACGTTAATTCGTTCCAGCGAAATCGCTGTAAAACGAAAACGTAATGCGAAATAAAAAAGCCCATAGAAACGCATTAAAATCCAATTAATGCTTTCCTATGGGCTTGAAACTCAGTGTCCAGCAAAGATCCTCCATAGTGCAGCCATTTTCGCTACCCGTGCAGCAAGGAATCCGTCCCAGAAAAGACCGGGGAGCCTTTTTTTTTTAACCCGGCGGCCATTTTGAAACCCCCGATCAGCTGGCCAAAAATCGTTGTTTTGCGAGAATCAGTCCCCGAAGCAGGGAACCGATCATCGCAAAGCGAAATTCCCCCATTGAAACATCGTAAAGTGATCTCTTTTGCGATCGCAAAAAGTTCGTCGTGATGCGATTTCGTCGTTAAACGGGGCACTCATCTTGTGAGGCACTACTGTATATTTTTCCCCCAGAAGATCTTCTGGAAACATTCACACTGGCATCTTTTTTTAAAAAATCCTTGAGAATGCATAGCACATGGACTTTGTGACTGGTTAATTTTTAAATTTGTTACTCATACCTAGCACCTCAGCATTCATAATCACCATCTTCTGTTCTTCTCCAAGGGGAGGGAAACTAAAAGTTTTATGAAATATTTCCTTACTGCAAGGTGGGGAATCAATAATCTTCCAAATGTTAATGAACAGTCACTTTCATCACTCCTCACCACTGGTAGTGGCTGAAAGGAAGTGGCTGAAGGGAACAGGAATCCAGCACTATCTGTAGGGCCCTGGGTTCTCCACCCTGGCTTAAAGGCAGATAACAAAAGAGAGATGTTACCAAAATCATTACAGTGTGACCTCAAACTAGAAGTTTCTGCCGTTTAGGACATGTAGTATTTCCTTCAGTCCTTCATCACTGATCCTGCCAATTTTCTATAGTCAGAAGCTACCAATATTCGATAAAGCAAACATAAGATCACAGAATGCCTGTTTATTTTTGTGCAAGCCAGCATTTTGAAGATGATTTCCTCTTGAGGATATCCAAGACACATACTGTAGATGGTGCCTTTTCAATATTCAACTGCAGAAAGCTGCCACAATGATCTGAGGAGGCTCCGGTTAGGTGCCTGGGCACAGGTGAAGTGATCAGGCATGCAACTGGTACTCATCAGATTGCAATGGTAGCTTCTGCAGTTAGGACCTCCAAGTGCTTCAAATTGAAACACATTATAGTTTATGCTGCCTGGATAACCTAGTGGTTCAGGTATCTGCCTGCAGAGCCAGAATTTGGGAGCTTAATACCCCACTGTGCCTCCTGGGAGGAGAGCCAGCCTGTGTAACCTTGGGCAAGCTGCACAATCTCAGAGCACCTACAGAAGAAGGGAAGGGTAAGCCACTTCTGACTGTTCTCTACCTGGAAAACCCTGAAAAGGATCATCATAAATCAGAATTGATTCCACAGCACATGATGATGACCGTTTATAAACACATGTTCTATAAACATAAATGCACTCAGAGACTCTTCTCCCTAAGACCTTGTGACTCAGCCACTGTCTGCTTTTGTCAGCTGACCTCAAGAGACCTTATTAAACAGTTTTTACTTGTGAAATATTTTCGCTCAAGGCTTGTATAATAGAACATGCAGTTTTGTATTGTACGCATATATCACATTTTTTAAAAATAGCATGTTAATGTTTTAGATAATACCTGAAAGTTTTGTATTGTACGCATATATCACATTTATTTTTTAAAAATAGCATGTTAATCTGTTTTAGATAATACCTGAGGAAAGTGTTGGCCTTGCACAAAAATAACAGACACTTGGTGATCTTGTGTCATTTTTGATTTGTTGTGCTTCCTTGATTTTGTCAGCATTCTATAAAGCACATGGAAAAGTTGGTGAGCAAAGAAAGATACCCAGGCAGTCGCCTCGTGGCTTTCATGTATTCTCACAGCTCTTGCCCACACTTTTAGAATTTTGGTGAAGAATGAATGGGCTCCCACACAAAGTTACACAATCCTTTTAGGAAAACATCATTACCTGGAGTTAGAAGCGCTTTTCCACAGACATCTCCAAGAGCATAGATCCCCTTCCTGCTGGTATTTTGGAACTCATCAACTACAATGTGACCTAGATCATCTGTCTTCACATCCTATATTAGGAAAGAAAGCAAAAGTCAAACCTGGCATCTTAAGAATGAATATGCAAGAGATGTGGCACTGCAGCGTCTTGGATATCTAGGCTATGCAACGTTTTAATAAAATTGCCTGGCCTGAAGACAAGGGAAAGTAAGCGTTTTCTCCCCATATCGCTTCAGAAAGCAATACATACAGGGCAAAAAGGCAGGGATTATGCCAATGCATAGCCAGGCTGTCTGTCTATTTTATGTCTCATGTTCAGAGCTTTGCAAGGCACGCTTCAATATGGATTCTTTCAAGTATTTTTCAAGTGGCCAAAACTGTGCATAGGTTAAGATAATCTTATCGTTGGAAAGAGGCACCAAGAGGTTTCAGCCAGAAAACCAAATTTGTGTGTTTTAACTACTACCCCACAATCCTTCTCCTAGATTTCCTGATTTTTTTTAAAAAACTACCAAATTTATCACTGGATCACCTTATTACTACATCAATACATTACAGTGGTGCCTCGATTAGCGATGTTAATCCGTGCAGAAAAAAATCGCTGCTAAGCGATAACATCGCTAAGCAAAAATAAAAAGCCCATAGAAACGCATTAAAATGCGATTAATGTGTTCCTATGGGCTAAAAGCTCACCTTTAAGCGAAGATCCTCCATAGCGCCGCCATTTTCGGTGCCTCTAAAGCGAGGTTTCGGTGCCTGAAAACAGCGGGCGGCCATTTTGTTGACCCAGCGGCCATTTTGAAACCGCCGATCAGCTGGCCGAAAATGGGGGCTTTGCGATAATTGCTTCCCTGCGATCATCGCAAAGCGTATTTCCCCCATAGGGACCATCGCAAAGCGATCGCTTTTGCGATGGCAAAAAGTCCATCGCAAAGCCATTTCGTCGCTATATGGAGCAATCACTATGCGAGGTACCACTGTATTTTAGAACTAGATCACCTCTGTATGGACACACAGAAAAAAAGGATAAAAAGGATGTGTTTGTATGTTACAGAGAATTTTTAAAAGTGTCTCTTTCCTAATATCATGAAACATTTTAAATGGCCCACTGGCTTTACAATGAACCATATAAGGAGAGCCAAGTACCATCAGAGAGTAAAATCAAAGGAAGGGGGACTGTGGGCTGTGGCACAGATCAAAAAGCATCAGACTGAGGTCATGAGGACACTGGCACAGAAACAATCTACATTCTCCATATGATCATCTAATCTGAATAGTGTTGTAATATGCAACCTGTAACGTGTCTGGCAACCTCCTTTATTAATTTCTCAACAAATAGAAGCATAAAATAGGCTGCAAATCAAGCTTCAGCAAAGCCAAATCACACCAATTCAGGTTGCCAGTGGAGTCGCAACCTCAACTGAATCAACTAGTTCAGTTCGCATGAATAAAGAAAAATGTTTGGAAGCAAACACATATTGTAATGCAGCTTTCCCCACCCTGATACCCTCAAAATGTTTTCAACAGAACCCCTTAACACCAGAGCTCACCACTGATCATGCTGGCTAGTGAGATGAGGCTTGAAGTAGAGAGTAGCAGATTGGGAAATGCTGGTCTAATTTAACATTCCCACTTTGTTGAGAGAACAGGGAAATGTTTCTTAAGATTGTTGTAACCATCTGCAGTTTCTTTTTTTAATTATTTTTTTATTTTATACAAAAAAACCAAACCCCTTAACACCAGAGCTCACCACTGATCATGCTGGCTAGTGAGATGAGGCTTGAAGTAGAGAGTAGCAGATTGGGAAATGCTGGTCTAATTTAACATTCCCACTTTGTTGAGAGAACAGGGAAATGTTTCTTAAGATTGTTGTAACCATCTGCAGTTTCTTTTTTTAATTATTTTTTTATTTTATACAAAAAAACCAAAAAAACCCACATACATAACAACAAAAATACAGAAAAAAATTACAAGTAATAGTGCTTATTATAAACTAAATTCTAACGTGCACCCCATGCCCACGGGACTCTATTTAATA